GTTTGTTTATTCTTATTCTTATTCTACCGAATGTAGCCTTCCCACACGGCAGAGTCTGGCAAACTCCCTGTGGCGTACCCAATATGCCAAATACCAGTAACAATGATGGGTCTCATTCTCCTAAAGAGCCTTGAATATAATCTCAGGGCTAGGATGAAGGAGACGTTACTGGGGCCTGCTCGAGGCAATCGACGATTGTGATTCTTATTTTCATATGGGAGAGCCTAAGAGTGATGTTTTCCAGTGCCAATAGGTACTCAATACGTACTCAATAAGGTAAACCCAATAATTCAGTTAGACAACATCAGTTTCCTGATCATAAAAGTAAATTATTTTTATCTTCACCTTCATCCATGTCTTCATCATCATTAGTATCTTCCACTACTCAAAGAGGAGTATAAAGTTGGAATATCGAAGCACAACAAGAAAGTATCACTTCTGAAAGAATGTTCATTGGTCAAGACTTGGTGACTTGATGATTTAAAAATTATACATATATATTTTATTAAGATGAGGTAAGAATTACAAAAAGTATTCTGTTTAAAACAAAAGAAAGAAACTAAAGTTCTAATTTTTGCTTTTGTGCCACTGACTCATTAATTTCAACTTTCATCTGCTGTCCACACAAGAGTTTTAGTTAACAGACCACAGTGAGAAAAATGCTTCATGTCTGAGTGCTGGAGAACTTCTGAGTCCCTTTTATCAATATTTTCTTTGAACTCCTAAGAAGATAAAAACTTTATAAATATTTAGTGTTATCGTACCTTAGTGAAAGAAGACAGGAAAATTATGCTACTCGCACATTTTAAGTAAGAAATAACCAATTTCAAACAATTCTTGTTCATACTAAGTGACTTGTATTGGCTTGTTAGAGTCCCTTGGGCTTTAAGTTTTCTTTCCTGCCCCCCAACCATCCCCACAGTTGACAAATGTAGAAATATAAATAAAAGTTCTCAGCAGAAAGCGTTTAAAGTAAGGAAGCCCAGCATGGGTGCAGTCACACTGGCTGATAGCAAGCTGTGTAATAAAATGAATGAGGGTTCAAAATAAGCATTCCATTTAAAAGTCCTGATTGAAAAGTGTGAGGAAATGATTCATTTTCAGAATGAGTAATATGGTTGCATGCTCCAAAAATAAATAAGAAATGACTGAATCTCAGGACTTGTCCATTCTATTTGGGTTTTGGATATAGATGGAGAGAGAAAAACCCTCAAAACAGTGAAACTGGAAATGCTTAGAGTTATTCTGTCTAGTTCAAATAGAGTTATGTAAAATTAATTTTCTTTTTCGACTTTTGTACTCAAATTCTTGACCAATAGGCTGTTCCTGAAAAGTTTTAGTGAAAGTTTTCTTTTGAAGAAAGATAAGGGGGGGATGACATTTTATAAATGCACACAAGAATAATTTTTAGATGATTGAATTTCAGCTGATTTTTAAAAAAGTTTACTTTCTTATTTACACTTTTCTGCATTTCTGTGTATATGACTTATGCCTTTAAAGAGCAAATATCATTTTTACAATAAAAAATAAAAATGAAATCCTTTCCCACTTCTATATGATGTTCATAATATAAATCCACAGCTCACATTTGGAATATGCCTGAGATTACCTGAGATTTTAATTGCTCTAAACATTCTTCCTACTTTCCTTATAAGTTTAAGACAAGCAGATAGAATGATTTTAAACTGGAAAGTTGAGTTCTCTATGCAATTGAATTGGGAGGTGATTTTGATTGTAGAAACTCACATAAAGTATGATTAAGCTTATGAAGCATATTTGGATAAAATTTTCTCTTGTCTGTATTTTACTGGAACAATTCAAGCCAAAGCAGAGTTGATCCCAAATCTGAATTATTGCCAATATTGTCCTGTTAGCTGATACAATCTCAAGATAATTTTATTTAGTTTTAATAATTTTGAACACTTAGTGTGCTTTAGATGCAACACCAGCAGCAAACATTTAAAAGACAACTTCCTACTTAATGATCTTAATTAAATAACAACAACAAAAAGAGACTTTCTCTTTTCCAGTCTTCATACATGGTCTCTCCCCATTTTCTTCCCTCTCTCCCTTCTTTCCTTCCTACTTTTCTCTTATTATTTCTTATTTATTTGTTGCTATTGTTACTCCCAGAGGTGCTTCATAATTATTCACTGCTTGGTGCTTGGGAAGTTCCCTCAGCAGTGTTCAGGGTAACCTACAATGCGGGGGGTCAAATCCAGGACCCCTCCCCCCCCCCCCCCCCCCCCCCGCCACATGCAACGCATGTGCTTAATCCTTTGAGCCATCTACCTGACCCTTCTTTTTAACTTTACCTTGATAGCAATGCCAGACAAGACATTCATTCCTATTTAATGCTAGCTTGGGGAGTGGCTCCACTACCCCAGTCTAGCTTTATTCAGATAATTCTTTCTTTTTTTAATTTTATTGAATCACCATTGGCTGGAGCGATAGCATAGTGGGTAAGGCGTTTGCCTTGCAATCGGCAATATGGCCGACCCGAGTTCAATTCCTCCGCCCCTCTCGGAGAGCCCGGCAAGCTACCGAGAGTGTCTCGCCCGCACGACAAAGCCTGGCAAGCTCCCCGTGACGTATTCAATATGCCAAACACAGTAACAACAAGTCTCATGAGGGAGATGTTACTGGGCCCACTTGAGCAAATCGATGAATAATGGGAGGACCGTGACCGTGATCATTGAATCACCATGAGAAAGTTACAGCCTTTCATGTTTGGGTTACAATCACACAATGATCAAACACCCATCCCTCCACCAGTGCACATTCCCCACCACCAATGTCCCCAGTATACCCACCTTTCCCTGCCCTCCCCCTGCCTCCATGGCAGACTTTACTTCCAGGAGAATGTGGAAATACATCGATGCACTTTTCCTACAAAAATTTATTAGTATCTATTACATGCTGATCACTATTCTTAATAATGTGGTTAAAAACAAGGAACTAAGAGCAACTCCTACAAAGGCTACTGGGGGAAAGCTAGTGAAGAAAGTGATGCTAAAATTTTGAGTGCCATTATGAGGTTAGGAGGGAATATTCTGTGGGCAATGCTATGGAGAGATAGGTGTTATGTGATTGCAGTAGGGGAAAAAAGGCAGAACATATTCCAAAGAACAAAGGGAGAGTAATGGAAGACATGGCAGAGTGAATATCTCAAAGGGCGCATGATGTAAACTAGCAGGACATTCTTAAGATTCTAGGAGTAGTTTGTTTGTGTCGGAGAGAGCAACGGTAAAAGAAGTTGGGGGTGACAGAAAATCGTGACAAATCAGTAAATATGGGTCAGATTCTAGTTGTGAATTGTGGATTCGTATTTTTAAAAAGACTATGAAATGGCATGTATTTGAGGTTCTGGATTCCTCTTTGCTAAGACTCTAAGTAGCATTGTTCTCTCATTGTTCATTGATTTGCCCGAGCGGGCACCATTAACGTCTCCATTGTGACACTTATTACTGTTTTTCGCATATCTAATATGCCACAGGGAGCTTGCCGGGCTCTGCCGTGCTGGCAGAATACTCTTGGTAGCATGCCAGGCTCTCCAAGAGAAACAGAGGAATCAAACCCGGGTTGGCTATGTTCAAGGCAAACACTTTACTCGCTGTGCTATCGCTCCAGCCCAAGACTCCAAGTTGGGTGAGAAATGTCAGAAAGTCTTTGAACATTCTGGAGTAACTTAATCCTGAAATCCCTGTCCAGTGTGATGAAAGTGGTTCGCCTGTTTCTACTCTTATCGATCTCCAAGTAAACTCTTTGGTTCTTTTCTCACGCCTGGACTTCTTTTCATGGCTAGAATAGCAGTTGAGCAAGTCGTTGATGCTTGTGGAAACTGTCTTTTAAGATTGCTGTCCTTGTTAGCGCTACCCTGATATCTGCTCAGGGGGTCCTGTGCTCACTGATGGATCCTGTTCTCCATCAGTTTTCTGAAGGTTTTACGGGATCTTTTATTACTTGTTTCTTCCCAGGATTTAACAGGATGGTGCCTGCGAGGACCACGAATGGCTCACGCTTGAACGTGGTTTAATTATCACAAATTGCAACACCAGCACCAACAGCCTTCTCTGGTGCTGGTGTGTTGTTGATCTAGATGATTCTTTTCTTGGACTGATTCCTTCTCTGGCATGTCTGAACTCCCTGGTAAGCAGATCCTTGAAGGCTGCTTCAGATATGGTGGCAGGCCCAGATCCTAGGGATAACTATTTTAATGATACTTGAAAAAGTTGTGGGAAAGGACATAAGAAGAGAAAATAGAAAGAAGCAAGAAGGCTGAACCACCATGAAAAGAGAATAACAAGTATAGGTGGCTATTGGGTCGCTTTAAAATCAAGAATATGTATTGCAAGCCATAATACCCCAAAGTAGCGAAAGATTATGAGGAATCATGTCTGCCATGGAGGCAGGGGGAGGGTGGGAAAGGGGGGTATACAGGGGATATTGGTGGTGGGGAATGTGCACTGGTGGAGGGATGGGTGTTTGATCATTTTGTGATTGTAACCCAAACATGAATGCTTGCAACTATCTCATGGTTATTCAATAAAATTTTTAAAAATTAAAAAAAAATCAAGAATAATTAGTACATTTTTGCACTATTTTTCTAAACTAATTTTTCCCCATGTACAGTCTCTCTTATTTGTTTTTTCTAGTTTGCATTATTTATATTTTTGCAAGCTTCCTTAGAATTTTTTTGAACCGTGGCAGAATATTACAGATGAGAAAATAAGAAAGTAATTCACCGTGGCCACACTCCGTAATGAGCATTCTGTAAACAGGAAAGATTCATGGGTCAAAGAGAGAAGCCAAATACTTCTTTTGATAAACACGCCTGTGCCCAGAATGTGAAACAGCAGGAAAAGAGGATTTCAAATTAAAATCTAACTCTCAAATGACCCCTGAGTCTTGACCTGTTCCGCCGATGGCAAAGTAGTTTGGCAGGATTTGTCCGCTCAGCAGCAAAGCGAACCCAAACCAACCAGGCAGAAGGCACGCACCAGGGGGCCAGTTCCAGACTTCAGAAGATTTCCCAGACTGGGGACCCCCGCCATCTCCGCGGGGCGGGGAAGGGGAGCAAAAGGCGCTGGAGGAGATGAACTGTGTCTCTCTAGGTCACTCCGCAGAGTTAGGAAGGTCTCTGGGTATCGTGGCTGCAGAAAACCAAACCTCGAGTGATTGATGTAAAAACAGTTATCCCGGTCGGAACTTCCTCGCTATGACCTGCCCCTCACCTCGGGATGGTCCCTTTGCGCTTCAGTTCCTCCCCTCCCCTGCTGAGCTACGCTTGCCATTCCTGTGCAGTTTCTCATTCCTTCACCCGGAGTCCGTCCCCCTGAACATCCCCTAGGGGCCCCCAAGTGCCCTACAAGTTTGCAGCTCCTCTGAGCTCGCCGCACTCTTGTTCCTTTCGCTTCTGCGGGCTCCTTCTCCTTCCGAGACTCCGCCGGGGAACCCCAGCAGCCCGCTCGGAGGCCCCCCTGAGCCCGGGACCCCGGGAACTCGGGGAGAGGGTGCGGGTAGCAGGTGGCGGGGCGCGCCGGGCGGGCCCCGGCGGGCGGGCGGGGCGGGCAGCGGGCGGGCGGGCGCGGGGCGGTCCCAGACCTCCCGCTCGCCTCCTCCCCGCGCGGTCAGTCGGAGCCCAGGTGGCAGCGGGGCGGCCCGGAGCGCCCGAGGATGCTCGGCTGGGCGCTGGTCCTGCTCTGGGGGCTGCTCCCCGCGGGGGGCTCGGCGGACGCCCTGCCGCACCGCAGCGCGCTCGACGCCGACGGCCGCTACTGGCTGAGCTGGGGCCCGCGCGGCAGCCGCCTCGCCTTCCGTCTCGAGGTGCGCACGACCGGCTACGTGGGCTTGGGCTTCTCGCCCACCGGGGGCATGGCCGCGGCTGACATCGTGCTGGGCGGGGTGGCCCACGGGCAGCCCTACCTGCAGGTAAGCGTGCCCCCCATCTCTCGCGCAACCCCCCTAATCCCCCCAATCCCCAGCCTCCGCGGGCGCACAGCCCGGTCCCCGCGTCCTCGCGCAAGGGCTGAACAGTCCCGCTCCCCTTCCCTTGGCCATCAGTTTCTGCACCCCTGAGCCCAAAGCGCCCAAAGCTGGGCTCCCCGAGTCCTCTTCACCCCAGAGTCCCAAAGAAGTGGAGCTCCGGGGGACCCTCCTCCTCTTTTCCCGCGCAGGTTGGGAGACTTTATTGTGCCTCAGTCCCTGTTTACAGGACCTGTCTGTTTACCCCCAATCCCACCTCTCTAACACACACACACACACACACACACACACACACACACACACACACACACACACCTGGCACCGACCTGTCGTCTCCCTTCATCCCTTAATGATACAAGAGAGGGGATGTGGCTTTGCCTGCGATCAGGGTTGGAAGGTCACAAAGCTCTTGGCTCTTACTGCGCTTAGTGTCAGACATCTCAGAATTTGACCCTTCATGGGTTTTTTGAGACACCCGTGTGAGGCCGGAGTGTCAGCAGCCCCATCTCCAAGAGAGGAACGAAAAGTTCCCCAAATCTGATTAGGAGTCACATTTAGATTTCCACAGAGCCTACAGTCCCCAGGCAAAGTCCCTCTTAAGTGTGAAAGTTGTTACCTACTTGATTCAAGAACAGGTATTTTGACAGCTGCTGCTTAGCCATACAGATGTGGCCTGTTTATAGAGATCTTTGTGAGAAAAGAAGTAATTGGGAACTGACCAGGATGGTTTGGTGGTTAAGTTTTCTGGACATTGATGCTTGTTTGACCTTGACCAGTATGGAAACCTTCCCTGTGACATAAGATCATGGTGAATGTATATTCTTTGTGACTTAACCCAAGTTCTTCCAAGTGAAAGATTCATTCAGATGAAAACTATTAGTATTGGCCTGATGCTATGGCTCTGATGATTCCAAAACTTTGAACCCGGTGAGTTCAAATTGCCTTTCTCAGTAATTTCATTCTTCACTTCTAAGTTGGAGTTCCATAAAGCTCTGACTGAGGTGCTATCAGATTTGGACCCACATTCTGGCACTGTGCTATGAATTTTGGCTATAAATAAAGAAAATCACAGCAATAAAAACTTCAAAACCACTCCAGTGTCGTTCCCCTCCCCCATAAATTAATTCTTTCCTCCCCAAATATGTGCTCTGAAAACTCCAATAAAATGAAGTTTTATGAGGATGATTTTACTCTGTTGAAATCACTGATGTATAAATTTTCTTCTGCTGTAGCATCTTAAATGTCAGATTTGTAAACCAAAAATATGGCCCCAAATCAGGCCTAACTAGCTGAATAATTTAATTCTCCTTTGATATGAAGTTGATAGTGCCTTATTTGTGTACCTATTTGGTCTAATTTTTGCTTATTTGTTTTAGGGTGGGGAAGACAATATGTTTCTTAGCTATCCTTGCGTTATTTCGTTGAAGGGGGAAGGAATTAACATACTGTGGGACATCATATAATAGGACATAGTTATAAAATGACTTTATAGTGTTTTTTTACAGAAGAGTCACATTTCTAGAGAGCCCTGGCAATTTTATAGGAAATAAAACATCAGTAATAGAATCCTGTTTCAGCTGTCAGAGTGACCCACCACAGACAGACTGTTAAAACTACAATGTTTTCATGCTGCTGGTAATTCTTCATAAAGATTGCATGAAAGTATATTAAGTGGCTTTAAAATAGTTTTTAAACAATTGAACTTTTCCTGAAGTAATTCATGAATACACACCGTTATGATATAAACCTTTGAAATGGATACTTTCCTAGCATACCTAAGCAGGAGGTAGGCATTTATTCTCTAGTTTGTTTCCTAAGAAAATGAGATGTATTTTCACATAGAAAGATTAATTTTTTCCATAGTTAACTGACACTCCATTTCCTTAAATATTCCATTCTTTTTTGAACATACAAAACACAAAATTATGGTGACAGTTAAGTGGGAAGACTACTTAAAAAAACCTCTTTAATAAGAGGAAGACTAAACATGAAAAATATAAAAGAAGTATCAGTAACAACTAGGTCATCCAGTTTAGGGGATTATGTTTGCCAACACTTAAAATTGTCTCACTAGAAACAATTTGAGATTTTTTATACTGTGATATAGATACCTTAAATAACTACCAAAATCTAAATAGAATTCTTAATCCTAGTGCATGTTATTCTGTCCATAGATTGAATTTCTGGCAATTTTACTTAGCATCAAAGGTCACATGAAACAAACAAAAAAATCATTCGCATTCGGGTCCTCCAAGGCCTCGCAGTAGCTTCTGATAATTGAAAATGGCAGCAGTCATCCCAGACACCCATCCTGATGACTTTTATTTCAAGTGATTTATTTTATCCCTTCTTAATTTTGAAAAGTTATACTTTAAGTCATATTTTGTCCTTAAATTATTTTAACTTTCTCACCTACCTACCTTAAACTTTTTTCCAGTGGGATGTTATCCCCTGGTTAACTATATAAGAATATATTATAAGCAACCATGTAGAGAATTATTGACTAAACAAATATAAATCTGGATGCCTGAAAATGGCCAGGTACCAAATGCTCAAGAATAATGAGGTTTAACTAGAGCAGGCCGGAATAATGCTTCAGAAAGTAGAGGATACTACAAAAACCAGAATTCTCATGAACAAATTATTGTGAAATTAGAATGCAAATCAGATAATACCAGATCTTTTACTTATTTTTTTTTGTTGAGGGAAGACTGAAACTTAGATTTGTGCGTGTTAAAATTTCTGACTCACATTTATATAAAGCACTCTGAAGAACATACAATAAATCATATGAATGCATACAAAGTTGAGATATACTCATGAACAACTTAATCTGGGAACAAAGGGAAGGGTAAGGTTAATAAAGAATCAACCCACATTATGAAAATCCAAGACAGTCAGAGAGGTAACTCTCATTTCTTTTCAGGTGAGATTTATTTTATGTCAAGAAATGTGCCTGGAGTCAGTGGGTAACTTGCCTATTCTGTTACCTATTGTTGTGTAACAATTTTACCTATTACCTGTAGTTGTGTAACAAACCACCTTAAAGCATGTAAGATGAACACAATCCAACACTCCCTTTGTTCACAAACATGCAATATGAGAAGCCTTAGAGGAGAGTTAGCTCTATTCTACTTGGTATCAACTCAGAGCTGGGTGGATGGAATCATCTGAAGGCTTTCTGTCTCACTTGTGTGGAGCTGGTGTTGGTTATTGGCCGGGACCTCAGCTGGTTCAGAGGTGACACTGGAGTCTCACTAGGCAGTTGCTTTCTTCTTGAGAACTGGGTGCTTGAGTCTCAAGAGTAAATATTCTCAGAAGTCAGTTGGAATAATTGGCAACCTTTATAATAGCAGTACACAGTAACAAGTCTCATGATGGAGACGTTACTGGGCCCGCTCAAGCAAATTGATGAACAACAGGAGGACTGTGGTTTTCTTATAATAGCATTTGAATCATATAGTGTGTCTCCTTTCGTAACCACAGTCCTACTGTATTCAACAGAGCCTCAACACATATCATATGGAAAATACATTTTACCATGCCCATGCTTGCTGGCTTGCCGTCCGTTTCCTACTACCTACCAATTTTGAGCACCTGTTTTCATGTATTCACTCTCTCCACATAGTTGAGATTGGGAAACAAACGAAATCACACACAAATCGTCCTGTTATTCGTCGATTGCCTTGAGCAGGCCCCAGTAACGTCTCCTTCATCCTAGCCCTGAGATTATATTCAAGGCTCTTTAGGAGAATGAGACCCATCATTGTTACTGGTATTTGGCATATTGGGTATGCCACGGGGAGTTTGCCAGACTCTGCCGTGTGGGCAGGCTACATTCGGTAACCTGCCAGTTTGTCCAAAGTAGGAATGAGAGAATAAGATGTCATAATAAGATGTTCGCGGCCGTGCGGTTCCGGGAGCTGGTTTTTATAGTCTCTGAGTCTTGGCCACTGATGGGATTACACGGCGCCAGGGGGCCAGTTGGTGGCTGTGACCCCCGCCTACTGGAATTTGGAGGATCTGGGTGGAGGATGCTTGGCCCAAATCCGAGTAGGCTTGGAGATCTCGGCCCCGGAACCCGCGTGAGTTTGTCCCTCTGCCAGTACCTTCATGTGTGCGGAGAGTGGTCTCAGCATGGTGGTGGCTGGTCCTGGAGGTCTTTGGATGCTGGAGCCCTGGTCGGGGCGGGGAGGAAAGCTCAACCCGCTCCCCTCTAAGGGGCCCTGGCGAGGACAGCCAGGCATGGGGACAGGAGATTGGGAAACATTTTCACTTATTCATTTCCCCTCACTTTACACACGTATATATGCATATGCATGCACACACATTCACAGAACAAACCCACACACAATACACACTCCCTATTCTGAAATTTCTCCACTCTCCAAATTTCCATACTCTTTCCACTCCTTCACCATAGGAGGAGTTCTGAATTTCTGTGACCCATACTATTCAATGGTTGCCAATCATTAATTTAGGGTTACCTGGTTAGGACTAATAATAATAATCACTGTCACTGTCCTCCCGTTGATCATCAATTTGCTCGAGCGGGCCCAGTAACATTGTGAGACTTGTTACTGTGTTTGGCATATCGAATACATCACGGGTAGCTTGCCAGGCTTTGCTGTGCTGGCGAGATACTCTTGGTAGCTTGCCGGGCTCTCTGAGAGGGGTGGAGAAATTGAACTCGGGTCGGCAGTGTCGGCCTGCAGGCCTGCATGCAAGGCAAATGCCCTACCTGCTGTGCTATTGCTCCAGCCCAATAATAATAATAATAATACCTACTAGTACTACCTCCAGAGGGCAGTGTGTCATTTGCTTATAGACACATGTGAAAAATGAGATGTTGAGTCTTATTACCTCAAGAATAGACTTAGTCTTGTTTCTATTATTTTTGCTTGTTTATTTGCTATACCTATTGGTTCTCTGAAGCCTTTCTCAGT